TATTTATATATATATATATATATACACATATATATATAAACTGTAGATTTACTTTGTTTTTGAGACATGGTCTTTCTATGTAGCTTAGGCTGGCTTCGAACTCACTGTGTAGCCCAGGCTGTCCTCAAATTCATGGTGATCCTCTTGCCTCAGCCTCCCAAGTGCTGGGACTACAGGCACACACTACCACTTTCTGCTAGATTTACTCATTTCTGATGGCCATAATGGCAGCACAGATTTACCATAAAAATTCCAAATTTGTTACAAATTATTTAGAAGATAAAACAATAACTCAGAGAGAACTATAATTGACTTCATGCTGTATGTCTGTTCTTTCATCCATGCATGTGTGCCTTTAAGTGCATTTATTTTCAGAGTGCAGTCCTTGGATGGACAGGAAAGTTCTTTTCACAGCCTAATTTTGAAAGAGTTGGGCAAGCTAATTTCCAACAATTTCTTTTTGACAGCTAGGAAAGCTGGGGTCCAAGACTATAGTATGGCCCTTTTATCTGTTTAGCTCACATTTATACAAAAGATCAAATTATTCAAATTATGCTGCAATTCTTAGAATTTTAAACTTCATTTTCAAATGAAGCTTTGTTTCAAGTTTTTACTTTCATTTGAAAAATAAACTTTGCCACTGGGCATGGTGGCATTCACCTGTAATCCCAGCACTTGGGAGGCTGAAGCAGGAGGATCAATGAGAGTTTGAGGCCAGTATGGGCTACATAGTGAGTTCAGGGACAGTCTGAACAACAAAGGGAGACCCTGCCTCAAAAAACCAAAACAAAAACCAACCAACAAACAAAGAAAAAACAACACAAAAAAGCAACTTTCTTAAACTCAACACACTTAACATTATTTAAAACCAGAATATAAAGGTAACCATGGGCCAGGGATGTAGCTCAGTGGTGCTCTGCCTGCATGGCAAGTGCAAGGTCCTGAGTTTGATCCCTGGTATTGGGGGGAAAAAAATAAATGAAGGTAACCAGTACTTTACAGTGTTGAGGATAAAAAGTGTTTGTAAAATTGGGGGAGTTTATGAACACTGTGAAAAAAGAAAGGATGTATAAAAGGAATAGGACTTTACCATCATGGATAACCTGAGTTAAGCTGTTATTTTTTAAGATATTACTGTTAAAAAATAAGAACCAAGATAGATTATATAAAGGTTCAAATTCCCAATGGTATCTAAAATGTACCAATACAATTAAGAATAATAAAAAGATATTATTTTAAAAAATCTCTACATACATGAAAAAAGTTAGATGGCTAAAATCCCAAAGCCTAAAAATTCATGATCATGACAATAAAGGTGCCTTTCATAATGTCACAATATGTTTTCTTTTGTAGTTGTTACATTACCATAAATAAGTTATTCCTGACAGATCCAGGAAGGATGCATTGTATGCAAAGCGACCACAAAATAGAGGTCCAGTTTGAATAAACCACTACATTTCTCCAGCTTGATTCTGAGGCTGTTGTTTGCATAACTGGTAATTAGTAAGTGGAGCAACTTGTGTGCAGGAACAATCATAGCACAATCTTCTGTGGCTTGTGTTTATCTAAGTTTTCGCTCTAAATGATTTTTTTCCAAAAAATTCCACTTTGAAGCAAAATATTGGGAAGAAAAAGTTTCCAACTTGGTATTCTCATATGTTAAATTTTGTCTCACATTATTTTACAGTGATTAAGTACTCCTTTAAAAAGGTGATTTTTTCCACTATGATATACACTGAGTCCTTGACTTATGAATGAGTTCCGTCTCAGGAGAATGTTTAGCAGTCCCCTGCACATCACCACGGTTTTCCTCTTGCTTCCAGACATCCCGGGCTCTGACTGAGCACTGTGCCACTGTGCACTATGGCACTGTTCAGTGAGCTCACAGCAGCACAACTGTGACAAAATCTGGCAGACAAGTGAGCTACTTCTGCGATTTGTTCATGTCTACAAATGTTCATAATTTGAGATCTGTTTGCATCTGTGAAAGTTCGCAACTTGAATATTTGTAAGTTGGGAACTTACTGTAGTCCTGCTATTCTACAGTACAAACATCATCTGTCCCTAGTACAAGTTGCATAGGTTAAAAAAAAAAATCATTAAGCAGCACACATATATAATCACAACACTTAATAAACTGAATACAATGTTTAAAAATCAATAAAGGAAAATGTGGAGCACTGTGAACTAATCTCCTGTCTGTCTGGACAGCTCCATGGACAACAACACTGCTGAGAAAAGCATTCACATATATGTAAAATACCTGGTGCAGAATCCATTTTCTCTAACGTTCCCAAACGGCACTGCCACACTCTGTCTGGGAAACTCCTGTCTCACTATAGCTGGCAGGCTCCAGCACTGAGAGCTGTCAGCATCTGCAGCAGGAGAAAAGCCCAACAAGATCTGCTTCTGAAGCAGGGATGAATCCAGCACCAATGGCCCGACGTCAGGCATTAAGTCCCAGCAAGGAAGGGAGCTGGACTTCACAGCAAGCTGCTCTCCCCCTGGGCAAATGCTGAAAGTAGCACTGTCTGGAATATGGAAATCCTGAAAAACGAAAAGACAATGCAGGGAGACCACATTTACTCTAGCAATGCACTGAAATGAAGCTTTTAAAGCACAGTTTCTAGGAAACTATAACTATGTATTCTACTCAGAGATGGAACATCAGCAATTCTGTTTCCACAAAACAACCCTGATGAGACAATTAAAACAGGGGAAGCAGAGTCTGCTTTTCTGGGCATCATGAAACATGATGAGGTTGGGGTAGAGGTGATTAAAAAGGTGATGCAAAGTTCTCATTGTCCTCTAGGTACTGCAAAAATCCTGATGTTGCAGTGGTAGAAATGCTATGTATAGTGGAAGGAGTTTTCTTAGATCTGGCGGCACTGAAAGGTGTGGCACCTTGGAGGACCTCAGGAGAAGGGACCTGAATGAGATTTGGAACAGGAAACTAGAAGCTCAGTAGAAAAATTCTGTTTAAGGCTCTTCCAGAGGGAGGATCAAACTCTGATCCCAACACACTCAGATGGAATTCTACAATTTTTGGCATTTCTGCATTTTAGACTTAAAAGGAACTCAAAGGGATAATCTCTCTGTCTCCCTCCCTCCCTCCCTCCTTCCCTGAGTACCAGGGGAACTCAGGATGCTGCACTTGTCAGGCAGGCATGGCATGAGTCTCTACTTTTTCATAGTTGAGGAAGCTGCTTTACAGTGAGCTGATAAAGCCAGAAGTGGCAAAGTTCAGTCAGAAGCCAGTCTTCCTGCTTTCTGAGTTTGCTCAATGTTCCAGTTTCCCCAGAAGGCAGGGATTGTCAGGTATCAAAAAAAAAAAAAAAAAAAAAAAAAAAAAAAAAAAAA